AAAGATAATATAGATTGTCACACTAGAAATTAAACTCAAATAGTTCGATAAAATTTAATTAGTGATTTTTTAAAAATTAAATGCACAAAACAACCTAGTTCGGACGCCGATATATGGTGATTTTTTTTAACGGAGGACATTTATGGTTTTATCATTTAGATCACCAAATATTGATTTTATAAACGAAAAAAAAGTATCACTACGTAGAGTGAAGATATTGCGAAAATTGGAGAACTGACACTTTTAATTTTCAGATTTTGATGATTGTGAGAATAAGTTTAAAATATACATAACAGAGAAATCTGGCCCATTCAGGGTGTTAGATCAAGAAAAAAACTATAAACACCAAAGAAATGTCAACCTTGCAGTGTGTATTTTTATTTATAGCACTAACAAGGATACCTGCCGCCATCAGGCAATCAACAGCACCCTACCATCAATGCTAAGGGTTGAGTGTCACTCTTATAATGTAACCACAGCGTAAAGTGTGGGAAATATTTTGTGATTTCATACAGAATCAAACCCAGCTCCGAAAACCAGAGTTGTACTATAGAGCCAAACCCCCGTCCCTTAAAGAGTGCCAGGAGCACTTAATATAATATACACAATAGAGGAATCCCAACCTTAGAGGCTTTCACATTAATTGTAACACATATTGAACAAAGTATTTCAACGTTACAAGATGTGAAATCCTATGCTTTTTTAAGTATTAATTCAGAGTAAATCTCAAAAGATAACATTTTCACATTGGTGCTAAAATGTTTGTACGGAACATAAATATAATGTAAATTTCTGTATAATTTTTTAGTAATATGCTTGTTGATCGGAGAGGTTTTAATTTTAACATGAAAGTTTCAGTGTTTCAATAACTAAACAAAATGTTTGTAAAAACAAAGCACGAAGAATAAAAAACAATGTGGAGAAAACTAAATACAAGTGAACTGCATTGTATGATAAGTGTATTACATTAGAGAAGTTTGTATTTGTTTGGAGAATATTTATATCAATGTAGAGTTGACATACGTGATGTAATAAATTTTTCAAAATGACCAGAAATTAAGATTTTCAAGACGTAGCACTGTAGCATGTTTTGTTTGTTTTAGAATTTCGCACAATGCTACACAAGGGCTATCTGCACAGATCCAACTATAATTTTCAACTGACAGAAAATAATAGAAGGAAGGCAGTTTAGGCTACTCTTCTCTGACCGAATACTGGGATTTGACTGTCACATTTATAACGCACTCACTGATCCAGTTTTCGCGTAAAGTGGACGCGAACCATGAACACTCGGAGTCACAGCCCTGGCACGCTAACTACTAGTTTCCAGCTGAACTACTGCAGCATTTAATATCATTGACAACACTGTCTTCAAGTTAATATCATCTTAAAAACGATGTTGCTAAAAATGTTTAACTTCATACAGATAAAAAAGGAAGTGATCATGTATAAGCTCTTATTGTAGAAAGCACTAAAGATAGTTTCGTTGAAAAACGAACAGTTGTCTCAACATTTGCTTGCTGTTGAACATATAAAGAACCCATTTTGTTATGTACACTAAACTGCCTTTATATGTTTCTGTTTACTCTATATTTGGTTTTACTAGTACCCCTCCTCAGAAAACACCTCCAAATGACTCTTTCGCGTGAGTCACGTCAATCAATACAATAATATCATACAGGTTTACATACTTTGTCATGCGCATAAGCCCAGAGCCCTTTTTCACAGAATGACAACATGATGGAACGCTCCCTCTGTCGCTTACAGAATGACGCCCCAAATCCATCCCTCCTTTATTTGTATTTGATCGTGGTTAATTTGAAGTATTAGGATGAGAAATGATAATTCTAATTAGAATACCCACGCACTATATTATCTTCTCTGGATTTCCTGTTTGTGAAGAGGATTTGTATTGTTCACATGTAAGCGGTTGCTATAGTAACTTTCAATACTGCAGTAGTTGCTGTATTTGAGTCTTTCGCTGCCCGACAGTTTTCATTACTTCTGTATTAGAGTGGTTATATGACGAGTACTTAAGCTTCCTTTATCAGGTTCGAGAACTGTGTAAAAACTAATAAATTTTTCGATGAAACGACGAACAATCTGTAACCTGTTTCAAGTGAAATCTCTTCATGAGGTGGTGTGTGCTGCAGCTAGAACAGATGTACACTGGTTGAGCTCGTATTGGAAATGTTGCTTGCACTAGCTTAAATGATATTTGAGCTCTTTAGAAGCTGGATCTCGTATGTGCAGGACGACACATGAGATATGATATAAAGTCACAGAAATTAAACAGTTTTTACGAAGTTGTGTACAAAACTCTAAAATCATGGGCGCTTTTTATCACGTTACATTAATCAAGATGCTCTGATACAACCTTGTTTTCACGTTTCTTATTTGAATAAATGAATGGACAGCACAAAAGTATTGTCTGGTTTAATACTATAATCATTAAAATTTCAAAATGACATTGAACAATCTGATTAGAAACGGTATCACCCCCCCCCCCAAAAAAAACAACAACAGATTATTAGCTTTTCACACTAAACAAATCACTTTAACAAGACCTCCCACTTGGAATGAAATAGCTTAGTTGTTTAGCTTCATTATTCATAGTATTCCAATATTACTTTGATATTATTTTTGTTTGTTTAAAGTTAACCTCAAAGCTACACAATGGACTGTCTGTGTTCTGTCCACCACGGGTATCGAAACCCGGTTTCTAGCGTTTTAAGTCTGCAGGCATACCGCTGTGCCACTGGAGAGCCTTAATTTGCTTCCTTCCAGACATTAAAGAATGTTGAGGACAACATCATGTCCCATGTAGTAATAATACTGTTCAACTACTTCAAATTGTTCCTGGCCCAGCATGGCCAGGTGGTTAGGGCACTCGACTCGCAATCTGA